TTGTCTGCTGGCATCCAGCCTCCAAACAACCCTCTTGAGTTCTCTGAGAGGATTTTCTTTAAAGACATTGAGTCTGAACTCATGCCTCCAACAGGAATCCTTGGCAAAAAAAAAAATATAATTCCTTTTTTTAAAGTTTTAGAAATATTTTTTCTAAAAAAAAAACACTGAATACTGAGTTCTAATAACCCAATTTTTCAGAAGCGCTGTTCACTCCTTGCAAAGAATTAGAACAACCACTTTGCTAATATTTACCATCGACCCTCCATTTGCTCGATTAAACTGGACATCCTTTTCTTTTTTCCTTTGTGCAGATACTGGAAACCTCATAACCCCACCTTTTTTTTTTTTCCTTCAAGGCTGGCACTCTAGTTCTTGAGCCACAGCTCCATTTCTGGCTTTTTGCTTGTTAGTTGGTGGTGTCTCCTGGACTGTTCTGCCTGGGCTGGCTTTGAATCACAGTCCTCCAATCTCAGGCTCTCGAGTGGCTAAGATTATAACATGAACCACCAGCAACCATTATTCTTGAGGGGGCTTTTAAGCTGACAGGCAATGCCTTCATCCACTTATTCATTTCTCTCAACATTTCCTTCTATTTGCTGACACGAGAAAAGGGGAAAGTAAAATGTCTCATGTTCTGCTTGCAGATACTAGCAGATTCAACATGATCATCTAGAATATTCTCCAGGGCCTCATGCTGGGCTTGGCTTGAGTGCTCCTCACAAAGGTCTTTGAGCAAAGTAGAGACACAAAGAATTCCTCATTGCTGCCTGCTGTCCGGATGTCCTATCACCTTACTAAAGAGAACAAACTTGGGCTGCCGCTGGCACAGGCATTTCTGAGAATTTACCTCCATGTGCTTTGGGAGATTAACCTCCCTTAGCGCCAGCGACAAGTTTGCTTCGAAGACTCGACCCTTGTATAGCAAAGAATTTTGCCTTTCCCGTCCCTTGCCAAGAAACGCCAGTAATCTTTACAGCTGGGACGGAATTTCCACAGCTGGACAGATTGCACAAAGACTCCATGCACCAGAGGGGCGCCCCTCCTCAGAATCTGAACCCCAAAAGCACGGCCACCTGAGGGCTGACCACAGTTGGCAGGCTGTGGAGAAACTCCAGCTGGGCACCTCAAACTCGCTTTGTTTGGCTCTAGGACTAAGGATGCATAATATTGCTTGGGGGGAAAAAAGAAAACTCAAACTGCAGAAGATTCCAGCTGCTTCAGATCCACAAACCCCCAAAAGTACAACTCAAGATTGAGAACATATGGTCACTCTCTCCACCCAAAAAGGGGCTACTCAATGATCTCACTCACAAATCTCTCTCTCATCGCCGTGTACACCCACAATCCAAAAGGATGGTCGTGGTATTCTTATTCTAGGTGATAGGGTTGTTCTCTGGCCTCGCAATGGTGGTCTGTGGAGGAATTTAAACTAATAAGGGTGTAAGGGTACATTTTGCTGTGAGAGTCCCCAGAAAAAGAGGCCATGGCATGCAAACAAAGTATCAGGTGGAGAGAAGAGGGGGAGAGTGCAGTCAAGAATCCAATACAACTGGAAGTGGTGCTGTGGCTCAAGTGGTAGAGCGCTCGCCTTGAGCTAAAGAGCTCAGGACAGCGCCCAGGCCCAGACTTCAAGCCCCACAACTGACAAAAACAAAGACTTCAGTGCAGATCCTACAAAAAGAAGGGGGAAGGGATGGGGAGGGGAGGGATGGGTGTAAAAAGTCCATGAGATGGTCATCTCAACCACAGAGAGAGAGAGAGACAGAGAGACAGAGTTGTGGTTCAAATGGTAAATTAGCCTTGAGCAAAAAATCTCAAGGACAGAGCCCAGGCCCTAGTTTAAGCTGAGAACCAGCACAAAAGAAAGAAAGTGGAGGAATAAGAAAAAGAGAAAAAAGGAATCTAGCAAAACAGTCTTTTCTTACTTAGATTGTATATTAAACTGGAAGGGGTGGAGGTGAGGACCTTTGTAGAACTTTGAGACTGTAGCGCCCTCTGGTGGCAATCCTGTAGAGTAAGGTTTTCTTTTTCTTGGACTCAATCATCAGCTACTCTATCGTGAAAAAATAAACAGCCATTTTTGAATTATGCGTACTCAAGCATATTCCAATGGTGATATCTCATGTCCAGACTGGTACAGGATCTTTGGCTCTCTTCTCTCCTGTGATGAATGGGCCAATTATCTCTCCCAATGAAGGTCAGTTTATTGCACGGTGGGAGAGGCTGGTAGATGTCTGGGACCACAAGGCTCAGAGTTCACTTGGGAGAGGGTGTCTGCAGGCCCTTGCTGCAGGAGACAAGATCTGCGAATGAGGGCTTGAAGCCAGCCAAGTGGAGGCGTGGCTCAAGTGGTAGAGTGTCAGCTTTGAGCGAAAGGACACAGTGTTCAAGCCCCAGTCCTAGCCATCCAACATTTGTTAAACTAGAAATGTTTTAATTATTTAGTAGTATTGAAATCAATCACTTCACCCCGAAGAGGACAAACACGAGGCAGCTGTGTCATTCAGGCTGGGATGCCAAAGTTCCATTCCTGTGTCACGTTCATGATGTTGAGGAACGCACGCTCCCAGACCTCAGGATCCTACAGAGTGCAGACTCACCCCCAAACCACCCGTGGCATCTGTAGCTAGTCATGGAACCCAAGCCCCAGCAATTACTTGAATAGACAGAATGTATTTTTTGGCTTGAACTCAGGGCCTTATGCTCTGGCTTGGCTTTCTCACTCAAGCTTGAGTGAGTGCTGGTTAAGTGGAGTTAAGAGTCTTGTTGTCCCAGCTGGCTTCGAACCTTGATTCTCAGATCACTGCTAGTGCCACTTACAGCTATTTGCTGTCTCGTGGCCTTTCCTTGCTGGCTTGGCAGATCTCATCCTGCTACCTGGCTGTGATTACAGGCATGAGCCACCATTGCCTGGCTAAATCTGGACCCAGCAGGAGGGCAGCCCGGGTCCAGATGTGGGGAGATCTCACAGGCTGAAAGGTCACCATAGCCCCAGGAGGAGGCGAATGCTACTGAGAATGGCCAGGAATCTCGCTCCCTGGCGCTGGCTTTTCAGGTCCTCCCACTGAGTCTTGGCATTGGAGGTGACTGTATGCTAGAGCTAGGATGTAGCAAATTACAGATTACCAGATTTCAAAGGCTGGGGCACCCGGTTCTTGGAATTGATTTGATAAGACCAGCCTGAGGAACACATGGCAGTCCCCTATTGCACAACCTGCCAGCTGCCAGACAGGAACCGCCCCCAGCTGAGCCACAGGCTGACCACTCCCACGTGAGCCAGGGCAGCCAAGATCAGTGAGCCGAGCACTGCGGGACATGAGTGGCTTGGGACGCTGGTGGATGGCAGCTGTCCCGTACCAGGCCCCTGGAGGGAGCTCACCTTTAATTGGTCGGTCACGGGGCTTGAACTCTGGGCCTGGGCGCTGTCCCTGCACTCTTCAGCTCAAGGTTAGCGCTCTACCACTTGAGCCACAGCGCCACTTCCAGTTTTCGGAGTGGTTTATTGGAGATAAGAGTCTCTCAATTTTCCTGCCCCAGCTGGCTTTGCACCATGATCCTCAGATCTCAGCCTCCTGAGTAGCTAGGATGACAGGCGTGAGCCACTGGCACCAGGCACATGATTGTATTTTGTCAGTATTGGAGATTGAACTACTCAGGGCTTGCTAGACAAGTACTTCATCTCTTCAGGCACTCCCCTAGAGATAACCTGCGATCCTCCTACCTCAGCCTCTTAAGTAGCTGGGATTATGGGTGTGGGCTACCTTACCTGTTACTCACAATTATGTATGTATATATGTATATATATTTAGTGCCAGCATAGTTGGGGCTTGAACTTAAGGCCTTGCATTCTCTCCTGGCTTTTTTTCCCCCCTCAAGACTAGCACTTTAACACTTGAGCCACAGTTCCACCTCCAGCATTTTGGAGGTTAACTACAGATAGGAGTCTCACAGCCTTTCCTGACCCAGCTGGCTTTGAGCCTTGATCCTTAAACCTCAGCTTCTTGAGTAGCTAGGATTATAGGTATGAACCTGAAGAAAGCATTGAATATCTTATCACCAAAAGTGAGATGGGGTTAATCAAAATCAGGGGCATTTTACATCAGCAAGTTGAGCCATGAATTAGCCTATGAAGACTCTGGATTTCCCCCACTCCCCACAACCTGGGCGGGCCTGGGCTAGATCCGGCTAGATCCGGCCCAGGAGCCCAGGATGGGGTCTGAGTTCCACTTAGCCAAGCCCAGGGCTTCAAGGTCTGACAGGTTTCTTGTTTTCTGAATTCATCTTTCTACTGGATCAAGTTCAAGTTTCCCCCTTAGTAGTCGTTCAAGCCTGTTACTTAGAAATTTGTTCAAAAAAAA